TATGTATCGGCGGAATACTGGACTGGTATATTTGGAAAATGCAGCGTATGTCTTATTTATTGCATGCGCTGTGGAGCATTCGTCTGTTGTATCACACAAAAATGAAACTCGCAAAATTATAATTTGCGTAATTACTGGTGGTAGGATCTCTTGTGAGTCCGCGTGGGTAGGTACCACTACCCTATTTGTTTTACCCGAAGGAGACCTAACAACTCAAGAGTAATTGCTTCGCGAATGAATCTACTACCGGATCGGAATCGCGACCCACTGAGAAGATCCGGCGAGAAACTAAGCGGGCTGATGCATGAGTTAGGCTGCACGTCGACCTCTTTGTCGAGTTCGACGAGTACGGTTACCAGGGACCCTATTTCTGCCATGAAGCAGTAATGCGTTTCGGTTTGAAGGGTCGGGCAGCCGTTGTAATTAAACTGAGATCTCAGAACTCATATCTCAAGATGGGTGGCGGCATTTACGTTGTAGATGTCTATGTGGTCCGGTAATCACTTAACACCACTTAGCTGCTTGGATATTAGATGTATATGTGTCCACATACACAGAACAATAACTAGCCAGCAATGTAACACAAATGCACAATATGCGACGAATAGCCGAGAGATTACCATTGAAACCGATCCAATCAATCTAAAGAAGCTAAATCGTCAGCAATTACAATATACATTGATACGTAGCTGAATGGTATTGGATGACAGTCGAGAGCGGTTGTATTGTAACGGCCAATTCAAGGGGAATCGCCTCACGAGCCGACACGTGCCTCGTGTGCTGAATACGCAATGAGATGTGGAGCATGTGTGTGTGACGTCAGCGTTACATGAATCTTCGCACGCTATTCCGTGGAACGTTTCATTGGTTATTTTACGGTACGTAGAGCTATGAGTAAATACTTTCTCGGATTCGTGTCGTATTTATTGCGAGACTTGTGATTTTTTTACGTTTTGAATAATATAGTATTTTAAGTTAGAATCATTGGGTAATACTCGCGTTGCTTCGGAATGTACCAACCATCATACATTATTTATACGTAGATTGGTTTCGGTATCTGGTATAACCATTGATGGTTTTACCACAATTTGACCTTCAAAAATTATTCTGCCGTCGATTTTATGTCGAAATAAATGGGATCTGATATTTATTTTTATAAATTTCTATACGTAATTGATATGTTAAAACGATCTAATTACATTGTCACAGATTATATTATACATTCTAATGCAGCAGTTTCAAATAAGATGGTAATATTTTCCATTTGGAACTAAATGGCGTTTTCAAATTTCGATCTTAAATTTTTTTTTTGTTTACACAGTAAGACCTCAAAATCAGCAGGTTCTTTTAAATCTTGCGATTTGGTTGCTGTAACTAATGATGATTAGATAGATGCTGCTGATGATGATGATGATGATGACGAAATGATTTGTAATGACGACTTTGTTGTATCTGCCACGTTAAGCAACACGGAAAAGAATATGTGGATATATCGATCGGATTAAAATACGTAAAAAGCTTTAACCAGCGAACCCGTACTGATCTTAGATGTCTCAAAAATACCGCTAAAGCCACAACCTTTGCCCAGTTTCGGGATTATCGCGTAAAAGGCAAACTGAATGCCAACTATAAGATGCACGACTGGACATCTGCGACTAAAAAAACCCAATAAACCATTTCAAACAAGGCTATACGCTCCAATTGGTTTAGGAAACGGATTGAGCCGGTTGGATAAGTCGATTCCACGCCGTCACACGGATAAAAAGGATGTGTCACGTACAATGGGGAAAATGGAAAAAAGACAGGTTGCATTGACAGAAACTGTTTTGGTTTTACTATCATATCTTGGTGGACAATGTTAAAAACAATATTAGGCTCTGGTTATTGCTATTGCCGGTGCTGGTGGGAATATTTTGTGGCAATTATGACCCCCCATTCAGACTAATAAGCGCCCAAAACACGTCATTTCGGATCCTCCCGATCCACAAACGATGCTTTAGGTACCACAAGCACCGGTCATCGTTGTCGTCGAACCCATCGCTTGCGACGAAGGGCTCGGCGAGTAAATTAACCCACAGACACAGCCCAGTGAGTTTCTTGCTGGATATTCTCAGTGGGTCACTTTTACGATCCGGTGGTAGATTCTGCGAAGCACGGCTCTTGCTAGGGTTCGTGTTAGCAACAACGTCAGGTTTGAGCCCCGTGAGCTCACCTACTAGACCATCAGCTTAGGTAGGAAAAAAAAAACTAACAAGGTTTCTTTGAAACATCAAACGGACAATAACAAAAGAATTAGATAATATGTTATGCACATTGTAAACAGTCTTGGGATGAGCGAGGAAAATTCCAATGAAACTGTACATGAAATATTTAAACAAACAAATTCTCCTTACTGAGTTCCAGTATTATTAGGGGTACATAAAGTATTCTCCAACATTCAGCTTCTATCGTGCGCTCATTTGTAAGCAGATCTCATCCCAGGTGATATACTGTAACGCAGCATCGAAGCTACGCGCTGCATTCATAAATATTAATCTAGTGAACGAAACTGTGTGATCTCTCTTCTTCGGTGTTTTCAGAGCGGTCTTTGAGGTAGATTTGAGAGGAGTCGTATATGGCGTTACCATTATCTGTTGGCTCGTTTTCTTGATAGTCTCGCGTTGATTAGCCCTGACTACAATACGATGAATTTGAGTCACTAACAAAGGTTTTTTTTTACTGTTTAGATGGGTGGACGAGCTCACAGCTGGTTTAATTTAATAAGTTAAAAATTTAAACATGGATCAAATGAAATTACAACATAACTAAAGCTAGATTCGTAAACACAATAAAATAAAATAAATTTAATGAAGTTTTTTTTTATTGCCCTTGTAGCCAGACGAGCATACAGCCCACTTGATGGTGAGTGGTTACCGTCACTCTTGGACTTCAGCAAGAGACAGAGACAAGTCTATCGCTATTTGCCTATTTTTTGTTGTTGTTGCTTAAATGAGTGGACGAGCTCACAGCCCACCTGGTTGTTAAGTGGTCACTGGAGCCCATAGACATCTACAACGTAAATGCGCCACCCACTTTGAGATATAAGTTCTAAGGTTTCAGTATAGCTACAACAGCTACCCCACCCTTCAAGCCGAAACGCATTATTGCTTCACGGCAGAAATAGGCAGGGCGGTGGTACCTACCCGTGCGGACTCACAAGACGTCCTACCACCAGTCAAAAGCGTTCAAGAGTGTTCGCGTCTAGTTTATGGCTTTGGTACTAGTTGGTAGCGGTTCTGTGATGACCCTGGTTTCTTTGACGGATCGTATGCTAGTCTACCTTATCAGGCAATAAATAAGTAGGCCGAGAGAAATTTAGGACCGTAAAATGTAGTTTGTCTCTTAATCGTTTGAAGTCAAATGCTATATAATACCTTTTTAAGCTAACCTCCTGATTGGATGGGTCTTTGAAATTATGAAAGAAACTCAGAATTAGGTATGATGCAAGATACTCGGAGAGTAATGAGCTTATGAATTGTTTTAAAGAAAATAATTGATTTTTTTCCAATTATGGTCCACATAGATAAGGTGTAAAGGTAGAGTCAATAGTCTAGAGTAGCATCATTCTGTTTCGTGCGGTGGATGACAAAAACATTCAAGAAGCATATCGCGATTGTAAGCAACCCTTTACGTATTGCGAACGCGACCTGATGAGTGCTACTACTNTGGGTAAACACAGCTTGGAGAGGGAAATCAAGAGAAGGATCCAACTGGGCTGGGCGGCGTTCGGCAAACTACGTGGAATCTTTTCATCGCACATCCCACAGTGCCTGAAAACGAAAGTTTTTAACCAGTGCGTCCTACCGGTAATGACTTACGGAGCCGAAACGTGGACACTCACAGTACGGTTGGTCCGTCAGCTCAAAGTCGCTCAGCGAGCCATGGAAAGAGCCATGCTCGGAGTTTCTCTGAAGGATAAAATCCGGAATGAGATTATTCGACAGAGAACTAAAGCCATCGACATAGCTCAAAGAGTCAGCAAGCTGAAGTGGCAGTGGGCTGGCCATATATGCCGTAGGACTGACGATCGCTGGAGCAGACGGGTTCTCGAGTGGAGACCGCGCAGCGGAAGACGTAACGTGGGAACGTAGGTGGTGCGATGACCTCCGCACGGTGGCCGGCAAGAAGTGGATGAGGAGAGCCGCAGACCGGGCTCAGTGGTGTGGATTGGGAGAGGCCTATGTCCAGCAGTGGACGACTGTGGGCTGTTGATGATGATGATGATGATGATGATAGGCTATAATCTTTTTTGAAAATAAATAGGGATCTTTGCTATTGTAAAACTCCAATAATGTAAAACTAAAATGTTCTTTACATCGCGTGCCCTGCGAAATCTATTGATGATATGATAAAATAATTTACTACGACTTTGTAGAACATATTATTATTTATAAAAATTGTCGCGACAGCATATGTCTAACTATTGTAGTTATGCCGCAATAGGTGTTCTTTTATTTAAAAAAATAAAACAACGTCAAATATCGTTGAAATTTTTGTTACGGACCCGAGCGGAGCCGGATTGGGCCGCTAGTTTTGTAATAAAGGTGAGAGTAATTCCTTATGTGTCCGCTCCTCAAAGCTTCTTGATTCTACAAGCGCATCGGAACATCAAACAAGCTTTAACGAACAATTGCATTCTGACCCGGACACGGAACGCGTTCGTCAATAAACCGGACATGACGTAAACACGTATCGAACACACGGCGGGGTGCCGTTTGACAGATGCTGTCAATCCTTGCATGATAAACTAGACTTAGAATACACGGCCGGTACAGCTAGCTGTGACTGACCGACAGGAATGATGTTTCATTGTTGGCACAAAGCCATTGCTACGGATTGTCTTGATGAGACTATGGCATGTCCACTTTGGTTTACATTTCACGACTATATCCTGCTGGTTTCAGCTCTTTGGTTTTATTCACGTCTACTGACGAAAATAAATAAATCTACACTAAACTTACCGTCAAGTCTCTCCTTTCCGTTGAAGTACCACACGACCTTGGGCTGTGGTTTTCCTTCTCTCACGATACAGCTGATGTTGATCTTTGTTCGCTCCAGAAGCGGTCCGAGGACCTCACCGTCCACTAGGATCTTTCTCTCTCCCGTTATCAGCTCCACCGCCTTAGGCTTGACTGAAAAAAAAACAAAATGGATTAGTTTCTACTGTAATATTTTGAAGAGCGACCCAGTTAGACTCTGTGGCGGTAGCCATCATACAACACAAGATATTTGACAAATGACTGAACCTCGCTTACGACATTTTCAAGATGAGCTCGCATATATACAAGTTCCAAACAACAACATACGGACCGACAGTCTACCGAGAAATATCACCCGCTCGGTGGAAGATCTTCCTTTCTTCGTAAATCTACAGCTCTTTAAGTTAGAAATACGATCGAAAAGTCCAACTGCCATTTAGGCCATTTAGGACACCGGTGACCCACGTGGTCTCTTAGAAATAGATACTGGTAGGACCTCTTGTGTGTCCGCGTGGGTAGGTACCACCACCCTGCCTATTTCTGCCGTGAAGCAGTAATGCGTTTCGGTTTGAAGGGTGGGGCAGCCGTTGTAACTATACTGAGACCTTAGAACTTATATCTCAAGGTATATCTCAAAAAAAATCCTGCATACACAGATGACGTGTAGCGTAAGCAAATGTCATTTGCATTCATGAAGTGGTGTCCACGGGCATCGGTAATCAGTTAAGAGGAAATGCGGGCTTCTTTTAATACATGTGAGGGTCCTCCCATGTTTCTCCACCATTGAACCATATCTTTATTAGCCGTTGTCGTATCCTCCGTATTCTTGTTTTATTCTTTTATTTTCACTTGTAGGCAGACGAGCATACGGCCCATCTGATGGTGAGTGGTTATCGCCGCTCATGGACGCAGTAATGTAAGGATCAGAGCTAAGCTGCCTACCGCTAATTCTGTCGTATAGATTATTGTTATTATTTTTTATTGCTCAGATAGGTAGACGAGGCCACAGCCTACCTGCTGTTAAGTGGTCACAGGAGCCCATAGACATCTACAACGTAAATGCGCCACCGACCTTGACATATAAGTTCTAAGGTCTCAGTATAGTTACAACGGTTACCCCACTCGTCAAACCGAAACGCATTACTGCTTCACGGCAGAAATAGGCTGGGTTGTGGTTCCTACCCGTGCGGACTCACAAGAGGTCTTACCACCAGTCATTACGCAAATTATAATTTTGCGGGTTTGATTTTTATTACCGCAATGTTATTCCGTCACCGAGAAAGTCAATCGAGAACTTTTTTTTAATATACTAACTATTATAAGATTTGGCCACGCTCTCAAACTACGAACTAGCCTGCACATGGTTACAGACATTTACGAAACAAAAGAAACAGGAAAAAGATGTCATCAGCAAAAAACTAGATGAATAATTTGGAATCAGTAATATTTTCATCCGATTTCAGCTTAATTTAAAACAGAATGCACTGTTTAATTACGCGAGGTCTCATTAACTCCGGTAGTGAATCACAGATGGCGCTGTTAATGAACTTACGGAATTGCGATGCGCTCGACAGTACTCATTTCGAAGTACCGTTGGAAAAATAGTTTGGATTTTTTTTTAATATATAGTATGTACAAGTAGTACCTACATTGTTTCCGGAATGATACTGATTTAAAATGAAAAAAAAAGGTGTAAAATCATAAATCCTGGTTTCTAATGTGACAAAAAAAAACTCCGGTGAGTGGTTACCGTCGCCCATGGACTTCAGCAATGCCAGGGGCAGAGCCAAGCCGCTGCCTACCGCTTAAATGAAAGCTTAGTACTGAAAGAGTATTAGTTACGATTTAACTTTTCGCGTTCAACTGTATATCTATTTTCTATCGTAAAACCATTGGAATTTAGAGAAGAGGATGGCTATGATGCAGTGCAATTTAGATTTCCACCCTTTTTTTTTAAGATAAGTAACGTCATTCCATTTGCGATGACTGTGTGTGTGTTTGCGTTTATGGGTTCAACAGTCTGTTAAAGCATGTCCGTGGGGGTCGTCGGAGCGGGCCTCGGCGAAACCCCTCTGCCCGGACTGAGTAAGACTGAGTGATATTCTCTCCTTGCCTATTGAGGCAATTGTTTTTCTGGGTGGGACTGACTCTTCTTTAATAATTTTGTCGAGAAGAAGCAGCTGGCTACCTAAAGCACGTCAAGTCACCTAGTCCGACTTATACAAATTGAATAAAGTTGTTTATGTTAGTTCCGCGACTGAACTACATTTTTTATAGTGCTGCCCTCTTTTGTCAGGTACCCATTACTACAATACGAATAAATTTTGATTACTGTGTCATATATGATTGACATCATAATTAAATAGACAACCTGACAAGACTGTTTACCCATCCTACACTAAATGGAGCGCGAGCGCGACGATTGAATAATTACAATTTGATGTTTAAAGGCTACGTGATAAAGCATATTATTCTATTTAACATAAATCTTTAACTTATTTTACTAATTATCTCATTTACACGGCGGGGTCTATTAATTAATTCGATTACAGAGTTGTAAACCCCAAATCGAATTACCAATGATGAATCGGTAGCGTCAACAATAAAATCTATATTATTTTTCAACTTTTCTTTCCGCTAGTACTTGTCAGAACTCGCGGCAATCAAGTCAAAGCTTTACGAAATAACTCTCCTTGTTTGTATTGATTTATAGAATCGAATGTACTCAGACTATAATGTGATTGGGTTTTATGTAATCACTTGTAAATACCGGCCACGTTTCGCGGTGATTATTATATACATATGTAAGTATGCAATACTGATATGTGGAAACGGATTGCGTACCACGTATCCCATCACCATCACCAGATATCGTACGTCCGTGGTACAATACCAGAAATATGTTTTGTAGATCAATAAAAAGTACTTTTACGACGTAATCTTGGGTGCATTATTTTCATGTTATTATTTCAAATATTTCAAAAAGTTTTCGTGGTCCCCAGACGAGTGAGATATTATTCGTTGACATTTTAATATTATCTGTAAATGAAAAGTTACAAATTTCCGTGGTGAAACAGGAGGCTTGGTTTGGCTTAAAGTTTTCAGATGATAAGTTCGATATTTGGTAACCAAATAGTTTCGGGACGTGGAAAGTTCTTGTTGTAAATAAAGTCTTCGAGTACTGTATCTCCTGTGGGAGCCAAGAGTTGTCATAAAAAAAAATGTCATGAGATTTTTGTCAGAGATTTATTAACACACTTTTAATTTTATGTATATTTTTGAGTAACCGTTTGAAGTTTATATATTTAGAACCACTTGTACCTTTCTTAAAGCTCTACAAAATCTTTCCTGAAGTACCACCAACAGCTTACAAAGTTTCAACTCAAACAAACATTTTTTTTTATAATAATATGATCATAATAATTATCATTAATAATAATCACCCTTTGTTATTCATGATTCTTTATCAATTTTGTTTCTAAAAGATTTTTAATATTCCTGAAGATCATACTGACTTGTCAATATGAAACAGATTTTTCGCCAAGAATAGGGGCGATCAGCTATAAGTCAAATATTTGGAAATTAAATAAATAAAAGGTTTTGGGTTTAAGGGTCCCGAGTGTTAAAATACCTTTATCCAGGGTGCCTGACCGGGAAAGGAATGCAACGCGTACTACGGTAGGTCAACCAACATGTTTTTTTTTTATTGCCTTTGTAGGTAGACGATTATACGGCCCACCTGATGGTGAGTGGTTACCGTCGCCCATGGACTTGAGCAATGCCAGGGGCAGAGCCAAGCCGCTGCCTACCGCTGGTTACCGTACCGGGAATCGAACCCGAGCCTCCTGGGTGAAAGCCAGGTATCCAGTTATCCAGGATAAATATATTGTGGGCAGAATTTCTAGTAACAATAAAATTATTATTTTCTTTTTAGTTTTGCGTTAGCTTTTAATGTAGGCGATATATAAATGGAGGCAATTAATTAGGGGACATCTTAAATTTGCTCAAGAAACTTTACGAGCGGCTTATGAAAACGAGAATCACAGATGCAAATGATAAGATCTATATCTGTCTACCCCCGAAGTCTTAGGTCGCGAATGTGAAAGCCACAAACTCTCGTCTAAGTCGTTGAGTTATTAAAGAAAACATTACTGTATCAGATTTAATTAATTTAAAATACGGATCGCTGACTTTTAATTAACTTTGTGCATCAGATGTTTATCGGCCGACTTTAGGGATGGGACATGGTCGATGAAATATATAGTTTTATTTTTTATTTTTTATTGCCCTTGTAGGCAGACGAGCATACGGCCCACCTGATGGTGAGTGGTTACCGTCGCCCATGGACTTCAGCAATACCAGGGGCAGAGCCAAGCCGCTGCCTACCGCTAGTCTATTTATATGTTTAACTATTAAATGTGTACTGCTTTTTTAATAAGCTAGACGCAAAATTGAATGCAGACACGTGTCTGTATCCATAATCATACTCTGACGGTGTACTTAAGACAGGATGGGCATCCGATTGTACTGAGAATATCCCATAAAATGGATACGGATTATGTTCACTCTAGCAAGTAGGATAAAGAAAAGGTATGTAAATGTAGTGTTCTTCTGCAGAAAATCATACTGCTGCCAATAAAATAAAAGGAACGAATGTTCTAGAATTTAACAGAGAAAGTTTCTGCTTCGCGATAGAAATAAGTCAGTTTTTTTTTTATTGCTTAGAAGGGTGGACGAGCTCACAGCCCACCTGGTGTTAAGTGGTTACTGGAGTCCATGGACATCTACGACGTAAATGCGCCACCCACCTTGAGATATAAGAACTAAGGTCTCAAGTATAGTTACAACGGCTGCCCCACTCTTCAAACCGAAACGCATTACTGCTTCACGGCAGAAATATGCAGGGCGGTGGTACCTACCCGCGCGGACTCACAAGAGGTCCTACCACCAGTGTAAATGTGTGTCAGATAGCGAGAGATTGCTACCTTAGCTACTAAATTTCGGAATATCGGGTTACAGAGAAGAATCAGCACTTCTTCTTCGCACATCTTCTAATTGGCTACCAGAGCTGAAAGCACTCCACAATGTCGATAGATAACTAAATAACAACACTATTAATTACTATCTTTGCTGTGAACTGTAAGAGAGTTTGT